TGGAAGGAGCCTCAGGACCCAGTGGAGCGGAGGGCCAGACCAGGGCTTTGGGCCCAGGGAGTCCCTGGGATGGGAGCTGGAATGGTCCTTGCAGGCTCTTGGCTGTGACCATGCCTTGGGCTCTCTTACTGAGCAGAACACTGCTCCTCCAAACGCTGAGCTAAAAGAGAGAACCACCATCACTTCTCTCAGAGTCAGGAAGGATGAGGGGAGGAGGGGGAGGAGAGTTGGAGAAATACAGGGGATTCTGGGGAGACATACTCTTGTTGTGAGAACTGGCCACTGGACAATGGGCTGAAATTGAAATGGGGTGGGCCAGGTCAGACCTACCTGCTTTCTCTACCAGGTGGAGGATATCATCAAACAAATGTGAGACAGTACCTCCTTAGAGAGCCCTCAAGCGTTTTACCTGTTGTCAGTGTGAGAACTGGCTTAGGAAGTGCTTCCCAAGCACAGGACAGTGGTGATCCCTTGGGAAAGGTCTAGTGGCTTCCATCCTAGCCTCGGTGATGTCTTAGAGCAGTGGTCACCAACCTTTTGGACCTCACAGACCACTAGTGGTCCACAGACCACTGTTTGGCGACTGCTGCTCCAAAGGTTTCCTTAAACCAGCGGTCGCAAACCTTTGATTCTGGGGAGTCATACTCTTGTTGTGAGAACTGGCCACTGGACAATGGGCTGATATTGAAATGGGGTGGACCAGGTCAGACCTACCTGCTTTCTCTCCCAGGTGGAGGATATCATCAAACAAATGTGAGACAGTACCTCCTTAGAGAGCCCTCAAGCGTTTTACCTGTTGTCAGTGTGAGAACTGGTTTAGGAAGTGCTCTCCAAGCACAGGACAGTGGTGATCCCTTGGGAAGGGTCTAGTCTAGTGGTTTCCACCCTAGCCTCGGTGATGTCTTAGAGCAGCGGTCACTAACCTTTTGGACCTCACAGACCACTGTTTGGCAACTGCTGCTCCAAAGGTTTCCTTAAACCAGCGGTCGCCAACCTTGCGGACCTCATGGGCCACCAGTGGTCCACGAACCACCGGTTGGTGACCGCTGTCTTAGAGGGTGACAAGACTGTTTGAATGGTGCCCTGGGCACAGCATCCCTGGGAGGTGGCTCAGTGGAGGCCCTCAAGTTTTCCCTGTGCTGGGGCATGCCGGGGGCTGACGGGTCTGGTGTGTGGTGGATGTGTTCTTTAGGAAGCTTGTCAGACCATCCTGAAGAGGCTGGAGCCCTTCAAGAGGAAGAACCCTAGTGGCTCCTGGGAAGACTGGGTAAGTCTGAGCTTCTCCAAGTCGCTTTTGCAAATGAGAGTGAAATGAAGATCAGGAATAGGAGGTGTTGATCTAGTCACACAGCAGGGAGAAGTTGAGGGAGTCTGCATGCTTTCACAGGACAAGTAGATGCTCACTCTTGCTGGACCCCATTTCTCAGTGGTGTTCACAGTTGAGGGAAGTCACTGAGAAAAATGTTTGATCCAGGATTTTGATAGCTCTGTGGGAATTAGGGGTTTGGCTACCCTGAACCCCAGAAGACAGGCTCAGCAAACACACCTCACTGTGAATTCTTCCCTCGGCCTAGTCCCACACCTCATTCGTCCACAGGCTTGATCAGCTGGGTTTTCTTCAAACTCCTTTTCTCAGAGGTCTGCCCCTACCAGCCTCTCCCCTTACCCAGCTTTTGAGTCCGGGTCCATTGAGATTTCATCTGTGAGGAAGCGGGAGGAAGACATTGTACAAGGGTTATATCATTCCTGTGGTTTAGGGAGTCACAACAAGCACTCCTAATAAGAATGAACCCGATTTTCTGATTTCTGGTTGGGAGACCTGCATGTGAGAAACCCTGGGAGGGAAGCTGCAGGAAGGCTCTCAGGTGGGAGACTTTAGCTTCTCCAAGATGCAGAACTATTAATGGTGGCCCTGCTTCACCATCCCCTGTATCAGAATGGGAGAACTGGGCACAGCAGTGACATAATATGTGACTGCACATGAACCAGCTCAGATAGTACAATAGGTTAAAAAAATGAACTCTTTTGGGGGCATGCAGGAGGCAGCTGCTCGATGTTTCTCATCTTACTCAGCCTCCCATAACCTCTCCTTCCCTTCCCATACTCATAGCACCACACACATAAATACCTCACGGAGGGAGGTTGATTTGGGTAGTTTAGGTTTTAGTGTAGATTTGGAAGGTGATGTTAACGTTTTCAACAACAGCCTTTACATAATCTGTTGACCTGAGCTTTGTCCTCAACCATGAGCTGTATAATCCAGTGTTCTTTATAAGCAGATAACCTCAAAAAAGGCCACAATCAAAAAGACATGATCAGGAATGATAGGCACCAAATCTCCTACTGAGTCAGTACTGTATTGAAAATAAGCCATTACTACCACTACCACTATATATGCATATATTTGATTTTATATACATATGGTAAGGGTCTTAAAGAAACTTTTTTAAACCTCTGTTTTCTCATCTATAAAATGAAGATAATAAGAATACTGATCTCATTGAGTTGTAAGAATTAAATGAGATGGTATTATCCAGGCTGAAGAACAGAAGAAAAAAAAGAACAGAATATACAATCATTAAGTACTCCAACATACTTGCAATGGGAGTACCAGAAAAAAAGAGAGAGAAAGAAAGCAGAAAAAATATTCTAATAAATAATGCCTGTAAGCATCCTAAATTAATGAGAAGCATTATCTTCACATCCAAAAATCTCAGCGAACTCCAAGTAGGATAACAAGAAGAAATCTACAGACACATTAAAATAAAAATGATAAAACACAAAGACAAAGTCTTCGAAGTAACATTGCTCGATGTTTCTCATCTTACTCAGCCTCCCATAACCTCTCCTTCCCTTCCCATACTCATAGCACCACACACATAAATACCTCACGGAGGGAGGCTGATTTGGGTAGTTTAGGTTTTAGTGCAGATTTGGAAGGTGATGTTAACGTTTTCAACAACAGCCTTTACAATCTGTTGACCTGAGCTTTGTCCTCGACCATGAGCTGTATAGTCCAGTGTTCTCTATAAGCAGATAACCTCAAAAAAGGCCACGATCAAAAAGACATGATCAGGAATGATAGGCACCAAAACTCCTACTGAGTCAGTACTGTATTGAAAATAAGCCATTACTACCACTACCACTATATATGCATATATTTGATTCCATATACATATGGTAAGGGTCTTAAAGAAACGTTTTTAAACCTCTGTTTTCTCATCTATAAAATGAAGATAATAAGAATACTGATTTTACAGGGTTGTGCTGCATATTAAGTCAGATGATGTGTGCAAATTATTCAATAGCATCTGGTACATAGTAAAGAGCTTTATTATTGACAATAATCATGATGCAAACTATAGCAACAATAAATTAAATCTTAGTGCTGTGCCAGTGCTAGGGATACCCTAGAGCAGCGGTTCTCAACCTGTGGGTGGCGACCCTTTCACAGGGGTCGCCTAAGACCATCGGAAAACACATTTGTAATTACATATTGTTTTTGTGATTAATCACTATGCTTTAATTATGTTCAATTTGTAACAATGAAATTGGGGGTCACCACAACATGAGGAACTGTATTAAAGGGTCCCGGCATTAGGAAGGTTGAGAACCACTGCCCTAGAGAATGTATGTAGTTTAGGAGATAGGGTGGATGGATAGATAGATGGATAGCTTTATTAATAGGAAAGTACCAATACGAACACAGGCATCAAATAAACAATGTAGAGAGTTGCTGTTGTAAAGACTGAGGCAATGGAATAGTGGCAATGGTGTGTGTGCTACACCAGAGAAGACTGGAGTCCTTAACATCAAGTATTCGCTCTGTAGGCAATGGGGAGTCCTTGAACCCTCTAGAGTACGAGAGTGCCATGGGCAGTGCAGTATGTTAAGATGATCACTTGGCTAGGCTGGGTTACACAGCAGTAGGGGGAGGCAACTTGAGGCAGGAAGACCAGTTAGGAGACCATTGTAGTGCTCCGGGCTTTGATGTCAAGGACCTGATGCAGGGGGTGGTGGTGAGGGTGTGAGGTGAGAGCACCAGTCAAGGGTTGATCAACTTCCAGAGAAGGAGGATGAGCATACAAAGGCTTAGTGCTGGGTCATGGTTACTGGAAACCATGCTTACCCCTTCCTAATGGCCATTTCTTCTCCTCAGGTCACAGCTGCCTACCAGGATGCAGTGAGCTTGTCTGCTACTGGGTTTTACAAGTATGTACGGTGGTGATCTCACCCATCTCACAACGTGCTGTCATTTTGGCCTCTCAGGCCCTTCCTAATCCTGAATTCTATCAGCCTGTGGTCAGGAGAGAACAGTTCCATCAAAACTCTGACCTCTTCAGCATACTTCCACTCATTTCAACGTAAAGATGCTCTAAAATACGTGTTACCAAACTACATGCCCAGGAGGCAAAAGCATGAGCTGCCATATCAAGACCCCCATTCTAGTTCTGGTCTTAGTGGACTATTGCCCTTGGGGAAGTCAGTGATTCCCTCTGAACCTGTAACCTCATTTATGACAGAATGGGACAGTTACCAACCACTCCTCTGTCAGCACTCCCCTGTGACAACCAGGGTGTCCTATGTTCTGAGTTACCTACGCAGAAAGACAGTGGAGGTTTCCCCTGGGAGAAGCCTTCTCCCTCAACCCTGCATTGGTGTTCTTCTCATGCAGATTCTGGTCACATTAGCTCACATAATTTCTGTGTAATGTATAGAATACCATAGATACTACTATAAACTCTAGTGTGAGAATATACACACTCGTACACACACACATATATGGGACTCACGCAAAATTAGAATTATAGGAGATAGGATTGAAGAAGAAAAAATGTAAGAGGCCATCTGCTTTTATTAATAACACTTTCCTCAAATCATTTGTTGAAATTTAGAAGGGACTGATAGAAGAAGAGTAACACAGGCAAGAGGCTACTTAAAAGTGCACCCAGGCTGGCCTGAGATAGTGATCTTGTTAATTTCCACCTTGAGGAAGAAGGGCAGGTGAGCCTGTGGGAACAGCCCAGGAGCCAGCGCAGGAGCCTTCGGTTCTGAGATCTTGAATTCTAGCTCATAGATCCTCTGGGGTGTGACTTTCACGTCCTTTGTGAGCTGGGAGAGCTCTGTCAGTTTCCACCACGTAGAGGCCAGCACGCTGACTCTAAACACCGCTCAGCTGTACGGAGTGATTCACCCGAGGGTCATTGGCAAAACAAATCAGTGCTCTGGAATTCCTGGGTTTCATTCACAGGTTAAAATGTCCAAAGCACATGGGCTACTGGGAAGAACAGCTGAATGAAAAAAATAGAGCCTTTGGGTCTTAAGATTTTGTGGGACAAGCCATTTGTGTGTGTTTTTTTTTGGGGGGGGGCATATTCATTTTAATACACATGCAGTATCTTCTCTTTTCTCCCCCAGAACACCCAACGTTGGCTACAGCTTTGAGACCAACTCAGGGAAACCCTTCCACTACTTCACCTACGGGGTGGCTTGCTCGGAAGTGGAAATTGACTGCTTAACAGGGGACCATAAGGTAAGATGTTTGCAAAACTTCAGTACTAAGGGGGGAAAAGAAGAGAAACAACTCAATTATAATACAAACCAAAGACAAACTCTGGTTGGGAAAATAATGCCTTATATCCCAGCTTGGGAAACTTTCTTTAAAGGACCAGAGAGTAAAAACTTTAGGCTTTTGGGGCCACGAAGACACTGCCTCAATGCTATCTTTGCAGCACGAAACAGCCAAGACCTATGGAAACAAGTGAGCATGGCGGTGCGCCCCTAAAGCGTTACTGACACCCTGAATGTGGATTTCACGCAGTGTTCACGTCACCACATATTCTCCTTATTTCTGTGTGTTATTTAATGATGTAAAAACCATTCGTAGCTGTGCAAAGACAGGGCACCGGCTGGATTCAGCCCATGGAACGTAGTGTGTTGACTCCTTCCTTACATGAGCTTCCCAGACTCAGGTTCAAAGCCCTAGGGACTGCAGGCCTGTCCCTCCCACTCACACGTGGGTGTGTGTGTAGTTATTTTGGATTACTGAGACCCTGGTCACTCCCACCCCTTCCCCAGCTGCTCTAAGAACTCAAACTTCAGCAGTGACGGTGGCAGTGGAGACTGGGGACTGCCTGAGCATGCCCAGAGCACTCCGCTGGCGGAAGTACCATCCGGGCTGGCACTTCATAGACTAGGGCAGTGATGGCGAACCTTTTGAGCTCGGCGTGTCAGCATTTTGAGAAACCCTAACTTAACTCTGGTGCTGTGTCACATATAGAAATTGTTTGATATTTGCAACCATAGTAAAACAAAGACTTATATTTTTGATATTTATTTTATCTATTTAAATGCCATTTAACAAAGAAAAATCAACCAAAAATGAGTTTGTGTGTCATAGGGTCACCATCACTGGTCTACAGGGACGCGCCCCATCCCCTTCCCAGGGCTACCAGCCGCAGCATCTTGTCCAATGTTGTTTTTATGTGGGTCTGAACATGTTACCAAGAGGGTCTTCTGCAGAGTGATGCTTAGATGGATGAGAGACCAACCAACTTTTGAGGCAGAAGGCAAATTAGTGGATTGATCTAGAAAGGATTCTCACGCCTCGGAGAACAAGATGAATGGGGAAAACACTGGGCATGGAGCTGCCTGCACACACACATGCCCGCACACACATGCACACAGTCACACACATACACACAGTTTGAGAGGGAGCACGGTTGGATGGAGATGGAGTTTGGAATCAATGTGCAGGCAGTGAGGTCTGAGGTCAGTGAACTTTCCCCTCCTCCTTTCTCTCCCACCCAGGACAACAATGTGCCGAAGCCTGGGTT